GGAAGCCAGCACCCTCCTGGTGGTGCTCTGGCAGTTGCCTGAGCTCTGGAGCCCCTCCTCGGGCAGAGCCGGGACCAACTCTGCCTGTCTCTGGTGTCCTGCAGGTCTGTCCAGGGGTTTGGTGGCTGGAGAAGCTGAGTGGTTGTTGGAGTTCGCTGCAGTCCTGTGACCTCTGCATTTTCTGCTCCTCTTCCCCAAGAAACACTGGAGCAAGCTGGTAAAATGGACGTTCTCACTGAAACACACCCCAGGAGAGAAACAGGAGAACCACGGCTCCAGAGACACCGAGTGCTTGTTTTGTTTTGTTACGTTTTGTGTGGGGTTCCCCTGCTATTAAACTGTTCGGTCTTTTCCAAGCGTATGTAGACGAGTGTGGGCTTCGGGTCACAACGTCAAGGGTAAGATCTGGGCTCACTGGCCACGACTCCCCACACCGGGAAGAAGTCAGTGCTGGCAGCGGCCTTTTTGAGGCATAGCTTGGCATCACTTCTCCATGTGCTGCTTTTCCCTCTGTGCACACCAGAGAAACAGTTGGCTCCTTGGGCGCGTGGTACCCTAGACAAGGACCGCCTTCCATTGTCAGGCTGCCACCCCCTTCCCCAGCCCATGCACACACTGGGGCCAGACACTACCCACTGCACCAAGGCGTGGCCCACTCCATGACTGGGTGAAGGCCCGGGAGCTCACAAGCTGTCAGCGCTTTTCAGAGGCAGCCATGGCACCTTTAGAATCACAGCCAGTCGGAGGCTGCGCTTCTGATGGCCTCACCCGCTCATGTCAGTGTGGCTTATGGGTGCTGTGTCTCAAAGCGAATCCTTCCACCAAGAGCTGGGTGAGGCAGTTGCAACTGGGAAGCCAGCCTTTACCTCCAGTGTGTGATGGTGACACCAGTAACCACACCTGGCCCTGCATCAACTGCCATGCGGATTAACTGGATGAGCCAGGTGCTATGTGCACTGCTGTCCCCAGATAGCACGGGCAGGATGCTGTGCTGGCTTTGTCACAGTGTTGGCCAGCACGGCCTGGAGACCACGGTTCAGTCTCCTCAACTGCTTATTTCTCTGACACGCGGTGTCTTTCGGGCCTGGGCAGAGTTTGTCTCTTAGGCCTGTGATAGCCTCGGCAGCTGCTATCAGACAAGGACACCTCTCAGAGCAGACAGCTGGTCTCTCGGGCCTGGAATGTGACAGTTTGGCCTGGGCCACTAGCAGGATTGGGTTGGCAAGCAGTTGGTGGTTTCAAGCTTTACGTAGTGGGAAGTTGCATTTTTAAATGTCTCAAGAAACTTTTGACGTGGAACGTTAATTCGTGTTGTGCACCAGTATGACCTTTGTGGTTCTCGACTTATCTGAGAGGTGGACCAGCCAGCCTGGGTTCAGTGGCTGAAGTTCATAGGAAGAGGCACCTCGGAGTGGAACAGCCCCTGGGTTCTAGGAACCCTCCCTGAGCTGGCTGGCGGGCACGCCCACAGCCGGACG